GTGCAGATTTGTCTCAATCGTTGTCTAGAGGTCAAAAGTACTTGCTAATCACTTCCAAACTAGCCAATCTACTCACACTAAAAGTACTGTTCACCTGTGTGGTATATACTAACTACTGCTAATGCCTTCAGCCTTTGAGTATTATGTTTCTATACTTATTCACACCTAAGTACTCCTTGAGTGATAAGACTCCATCTTTATCTTTGTCCATGTCCTCAATAGTTTCCTGTACAACTGCATCATGTGTTTGTTCATGTTCCCATGGATGATAAAAGGCACTGAATTCTTCTCTGGACAGTTTGCCATCTTGATCAAGATCTGCCATCTTCCATCTTCGTTTTTCTATCTTTACTTGTCCCTTGTACATGTCATCTAGTTCCTCCTCTGATGGGAATAAACACAAAAAAATGATAATTGTCAAAAATTAAGTCAAGGTTTAGGGATTTGTACCTCAAAAGATCCAACTCAAATCCTGTCTCGCGCCTAATACTACAAATGACTTTCAGAATGTGACTCTTGCAAAAGTTGAAACAAAAAATAAAACTTTCTTAATTAAGGAACAGGCCTACAGTAAGTCAAAAAGGTAGCTGTGCTGTTGATAACTGTGACATTAATGGCCAGATTCATGACGTCCTTGCTCTAAAACCCTACAATCTGATAAACATGGAACTTCTCCTGACAATACCAATATGTCTATCCAGCTGAAAAGTAAGAAGAATAGACATACCCATCTGCTGTTATCTTAAAACAACACCATCACAAGAATATGAATTGGTAAGAAGGAGATTTAATGCACCTGAGATGACATGAAACAGTACCTGGCTTTCCTCCATAGCTGACTTCATTGTGGTCTTCCCATGTGATCGCACCATCGGGATCAACAGTTTTTGCAGATGAAGCATTCTTTCGGGACATTACTTTCTGTAATCTTGCAATGACATCTTTCCACTTTTTATCAATAGTTTCCTCATTGTGTTGATCCTTTGTGAATTTAATCCATTCTCCAAGTTCTTCTTTAGTAATTTTCCCATCTTTGTCTTTGTCTATTTTATCGACAATTTTCCTGCGAAACAGATAGTTGTGTTGGAGCTTGTACAAAGATAATTATCTTTATAGAGAGCCTTAAAACAATGTATATCCTTGCATAATTTGCACTATCAAAAAGAGTCACTCTTACACAAACATCTAAAATGTGTGCATTTTTTTAGTGGTAGCTTCAAAACAAATAAATTTTCACTCTATTTAAGGGAGGATTGCATTCTTTCTGTGTACAAGAGTTACTCCATTTTTCCCCACATGTACATGCCGGAAGGACTGTAGATCATTCAGCTCTTATTAATTATCCAATGAAATGCAGGTTGAGCAAGGAGGCATGTGCCCTGAATGACCAAAGAGTAAATCAAGGTTCTGTGCATAATAATAACTTTTTTTCAGTATGAATTTGTAAGAATCTATGATGCGTTTGGGGAAGCCCCTAAAATGTCACAAATGGAAGTCCAAATTTCTTTGAAAATTGCCCAAGAAAGCTATAAACTGGTCTGTTGTAATGGCAATGAAAATAAACACAGAAAAATTGGTGAGATTTAGGGACTAACAACACGTTATAGCCATATCCACAATAGTTGGTCTACTGTGAAGAAAAGAATCACGTAACCGTAACTATATGCTGTGTCACGCAACGCGCATTAGACCATCACACAACATACCCTGTACTTTTCCACGTGGCAGTCAAGGTCTGTATCATGTTACAATAACCGCTTCAATAGTTGGTTTAAAGAAGAGACATCAGCTAATTTACCGCGATTCATCAAAGAGGAAACCTGAAAATGGACTTTGCAGCTTTGCTATTTTTCGACCTTCCATCGCAAACTGGGAGATACCTGGAAATTCCTCGCAGCGAGGAAAAAGAACTTTTCCAGTTTCGGATAGCGCACGAAAAACGCAAAACAATAATTATCACTCCATCCACGGTTTAAATCACCCAGACCTCTTTGTTCAATTCTAATTCATAAAGGAATAACACTTACTGTATTGGCAGCTGCATAATAAAATTATGGAGCTAAAACTTTGCATCCATAGCTGAACATCTAACACATCTAAACAATTGAGATGCCGCAACTTGGATCTACTTCGCGTTTGCCTTCAAAACAAAATGTCATTCAATGATCAGTTACAGCGAAGACCGATTCAACTCACCCAAGTCTTTCTTTGGACTCTTCGAGAGTAAGCTGATCAAAAGTTTTCTTCTGTTTTCCCAGGAAAGCTTCGTGATCGTATTCCGTGTTGTGTTGACCGTCCTTATTGTAATGCTCCTGTTCCGAAAGTTTTCCGCTTTTTTTTCCATCTTCGACGGATTTTGCAAATGCACCTACAAAAAACAACGAAATACACAGCGCATGGCAAAGTTTGGCCATTTCTCTGGGGTAATGAATAAAAATACAGCTGCTAGCTAATCAAATACAACGAAATTCCCCTTCCAAGGCAGACAGATCAATTTGACAGGAATTAGCCACGCGCTGCATTTTATAGTATCAGATACGCCTTGCTATTGCTACATTCCCATTGGATAGTTCATCGTCATGTGGTGCAGGCTACATCGCAATTCTCGCCACGTAGGCAAAATTGTTGTGTCAATGAGCTTTCAGATAGTTGAGAAATAAAGTTTCATTCACAAGGGGATACAAAGGCCATTCATTATGGCAGCCGCGACTGCCCTTATCCGTCACGCAAAGCAAATCCTGCAAATTCTTCAGCAAGGCGGTACCCTTTAGCGCCTTCGCGCGCAAAAGCAACGCTTTTACAGGGCCGTAGCTAGACTTCAGAACAAGACGAGGTTAATTTCTACCGCCGAAGGCGCGAGCCGCTAGAGAGGTATGAGGGCATGCCCCCCAGAATATTTTGAAATCTAAAGGCTCAGAAATGCGCTTTTAAGCATCTTCCGTGGCATTTTTCATAAGAAAAGTCAATCTTGGGCGTCTTACCTCATGCTAGCTACGGCCCTGTTTGAAATGCGGGGAAAAATAACAGTAAAAAAAATAACGTTATGAAAGGAGAAAAAGGACTTCTTTTATGTTGAAAAAAGTCGGAGCTTTTGCGCAAAATCACAACTCACCGAAACTGAGAAATGTTGGGCAGGATTGCACACGCCCTCGAGAGCCTTGCACTCTCTCTTAGTTCCACAAGCATAGGGTTCTGGGAATAAGACAAGGGAGATGGGGGAAAGGGGAAGGGGAGATGGGAGTAGGGTAAAGGAGAGAAGGGGGGAGGGGAAAGTAGGGAGAGGAGAATGGAGAAAGGGGCAGGAGATTAGGGGGAGATGGAGAAGTCAAAAGGGGGACTGGAAGAGGTGCGTTCATGTCGAAAGATAAAATACATCCCGAAACACATTTTTTTTTTACGAGAAAGAAAACTGAAATTATGAAACGTGTTGTTGTTCCCCAAATTTTTCCTTGTGCAATAAACACTTTAAATACAACAGTTACGCGTTTCTTTGCTGCATGGGCTATTTTAAAGGGGCAACATACCCTGCTTCACCAGAAACGCCAGTCAGCTTTAATGACCTTTTCTCGCACAATCGTAGCAGTTCTCTCCAAAAGATCGAAGACAAACAAATCTAGGAAATTCACCTTCTTTTAATTTCAAATCATTCCCAAGCTTTTAAAATTTGAGGGCAAAAAAAGTGAAAAATCTTTAGAATTGCATCTTTTACTAAAGCAATAGTCAAGACCAAAGTTAATTGGAACTTTGTTTTTACTACATTAAAATAAATCAACGAACAATTCAAAAAGCTCAGAAATACCCTTGATTTGAAAAAAACAAAACAAAATACAACTACCACCAACGTCCCCTGGCTTGGTATTTTGTATATCCTATTTTAAAAAGTCAGAAATTAAATAACTTTCACTTGCTATTAAAAAAAAATCCATGAACTGTACACAATGATCAACTTAAAGGGTGCAATCATTCAGCACAGGTAGCTCGGCAGGAAAACGATCTTTCACAACAGGGTTACATTAAAAGACCAACACTTAAATCAGAACCAAGCAAGAACACAACATTTTTTCATAACAGAGGCACTTGAAGTGATCAAATCAAAAGAAAGATACATGGCCTAATTCTCCCAACTAATGGCAGAGGTATCGGTAGGATGTTTCACAGGGGTCACAAGTAAAAAATTTGTGTCATGAGAGGAGCAGCTAATGTAGCAGGAGGGACCTGCAACCTCCCACTGAAAATTCTTGCTTCTCTCATTTTTGTAAACTTGACTCAGAATCTTCCTACTAAGGGGTAGTTATGAGCACCTGTGACCACCTGCGACTCTAAGACCCCACAAGCCAAGAGAATTTGGGGTTATATCCAAACAATGACACCTATTTGATAATTTTCTACCCTCTCATTACCTATCGGTTTGACAGCCAAATGTATTCGAATTTTAAGAAAATTTTGCATGAAAACCCACTTTTGGTAGCAAAGGAGTTGACCCAGAAAACCTTCAACATTTTGAAATAAGACTGGCAGGTAAATTTTGTGAGGACAAATCACAAGAAAGTTCTAGAAACTTAACCTTTAATTATGATCTGATTCATAATTCTTCCTTCTAGCTGCTACATATTTCCTTGTAAATTGGTTAAGAGAATTGTGTGTTTGATCAAGATAGCAAGATTTTCCTGATAAGTTTGGGTGTTCTCGTTATCTGTTTGCTGGATAATGTATGGATATCATAAGGAGAAGTTACATGTTAATCACTTCTGGGATTAAAAAGGTTAAGCAAACCTAAAAACCCACAACCTCATCACCACTGGTTTGTGCATGAAAGACTGCCTTTTCTCTTTGGAAACAAAGAGATTCCGTAAAAAAAAGTTCCCCGATTTTCCTGGTTTTCACAGTAATAAGGACTGCTTCAAACAGTTCCAGCTAACACTAGACAAAACTGCCATTTCATAAACAGAAAACAACGTTACAACTTTTCCTCTTTTTTTTTTTCCTTAGCACCAACCATTTTTTTCTTTTTCATATAAAATACTAAGTTGTGACATGTAATTGCTTAATGTATAAAAATATATCTTGAATAGCTATAATTCTTTGGAAACTTCCATAAGTAACTTAAATCTTGAAGATGGCCTAAAACTCGTCATGTCTTGTCAGGGCTTCTCCAAAGTCTGTTGCTTGGCTTCCAACAAAGACATCATGTTTATCAAGAACTTCCTCCTTTGTAAGCTTATTATCCTGAAAAACAAAAATTAACACATTGCATTCACTGTGGATGAAATCTCTGTGGGCTGGTTCAAATTTACACGAGTTCTCACCCAATCCGCAGTATTATGCATGCAGTGGGGCTTACATATTCACTATAAGAGGGTTATTTTAATTAACTCTTTAATTCTCAGGATCTCCTCTCTGGCTGCTACACAATTCCTTGTAGAATAGTTACAAGAATTTGGTGTTAGATCAAGTTAAAAACTTCTACTTGATAAGTTTGAGTATTCTCATTGCCTTATTGCTGGATAATGTATAGATATTACAAGGAAAAGTTACATGTTGATCACTTCTGGAAGTAAAGGGTTAAATGAACATCCCTCCACTGCTAACTTTCAGCCTTCTTAATACTGTTCACAAAAATCAGTGTTGACATAAAAGATTCAGCAACATTTAAGATAGTTTAAAATGTGTTTTTGTTACATGGTGGCCCTTAACTCTTTAACTCCCAAAAGTGATTAACAAGTGACTTCTTAAATTATCCATATATGCCTATGGCTGATGTTAAAAATGTTCCCTTTTTGCTACAATTTAATTCCCTTTTTAAACTTTCACAGCAGTGATGATCAATTAGGTGTCTGTACAAATCTGAATCTTGACCATCCATTTAGTTATTTCAAAAACTAGTACAATTACTCAATTTATAGTGCTTTTAAATAATTTTGTGATCTTATTCCTTGGAAAATAAAAGAATGTTCTAATTTGTAAGAAAAAGTAATTGATCTTACAGTGCATGTCCAGGATTCAACTCTGAAGTGAAATCACCATTCCCATTATTTTTTTGTGGGAGGGAGGGGCAATTTTGCTGTTTTTAAATTGAATTTTGGTAGATTTGTTACTGATCTTAATTTTTTTTATGTATGAATACCCTCTACAGTTTTGCTACTCTCACCTCATCCTTGTCGGCTTCACGAATAAGATGTCTGGCCTCTGCTTCAACATGATCATAATCGGGAGGAATGATCCAATCTTTTACTTCATCCTGTCAAATCAAAGTTTTTTAAACCATCAAGATTGCTAAACTCTTACCTGGAACAAATATCAATTGTAAGTCACCCTGTGACAATAACTCATGAATAAAAGGTAACTACATGTAAACTTAAAAAGAAGAACAGGTTACAGATGGAATAATTATTATTTTCACATGTTACATCAAATTATCATAATTAACAACCAAGTAGAGAAAGAATAGCAAAACTTGAGCATTCAGTGCATTTACATTTTCTTACAAAAATCATCATCCAAGTTATGATACATAAAGAAACATACTCTGTCCATTTTTCCATCTTTGTTTTTGTCACGAAAGTCTCTGAAATGTTCCCTTTCAGTCTTCACCCATTCTGGTTCTTCTTTGTCTTTTTCTTTTTCACTCTCTGGATACAAATCACCTGAAATGGGAACAAGCATTGTCAAAAGTTACATGAAACTTGTTTTCTCTTAATAAGTAAGTTACATAAATGCCAGGACAGCAAAAAACATAATTTTCCAACCCAAAGATAAAAATATATGACAGACCATTCAAATTGATGAGCTCTTTAACCAAAGGTCCAAAATTTATTGACCACCAAAAATTACTAGCACTTATCCCAGTTTCCACTGCATGAAACAAGCAAGAGAAACAATTGAGTTTCCCCCAGGACATGCAAGGTGATAGTTTTACTCATATTACCCCTCAATTTACCTCTGCATGTCATCTGGTTTTCTTCATGCTTTGACAATACTCATAAATATTCAGAATACTTCCCACCCAAAAAAAAAAAAAAAACTCTATCATTAGGTCACATGATTCTCCAATCTATTTAGATCAACACTAGCTTACAATACCTAAATATTCCTCAATAGAGACAGCTTTATCACCATCTTTATCAATATCTTCTAATGTCTCATCCACAACAACATCTTTCATGTGATCATATTCTTCAGGATGAAGCATTGCAGTATACTCCTCCTTTGATATTTGATTGTCCTTGTCAATATCAGCCATTTCCCAGCGCCGTTTGTCCCGTTTTAACATTTCTTTGTACTCATAATCATCTTCCTCTGAAATAAGATGAAATGAAAACAATTTGCAAAATGTTCAGAAGAATAAGAGTGCTGTGATTGGTAACATACTGTTCTTTCTACTTTATATGAGCATAAGACTGTAGAGAAAATACATTCTCAAAGTTAATGATACTGGTCACCAAAATTTTTAAGCAAAGCAAACTCATTGCACTCCCTCCCCCAAAAGCTGAATCAACAACATGCTCAACCAGGGACACCTTCAAATCTGGGATTATTTGAGGACCTTAGCAGTAAGAAGTGTGCAGTGTCTCTACTATAGTACTTTGTTTTTGTTCCAGAAACAAAACATACTGTAAACTGGGAGAATTTTTATAAATTGCGTGAACCCTTTATCTCCCAGAAGTGATTAACATAAAACTTCTTCCTACAACATCCATACATTCTTCAGCAAACAGGTAATGAGAATATTCAAACTTATCAGGTAGAAGCTGCTATCTTGATGTAGCACCAAGTTCTCATAACTAATTGACAAGGAAATCTGTAGCAGCTACAGGGGAGAATCAACAATCAGATCTTGGGAGTTAAAGGGTTAACCCTTCACTCTCAAGACCTTATTAGTAATTTTCCTCACTATCTGCCATACAATTATTAAAATATTAGGGTAATAAATGTGGTATCAGATTAACCAATGATTCTGTCATTTAAATTTTTCTTAACCCTTTAACTCCCAGATCAAGTTTGTAATTCTCCTTACTGTCAACTATACAATTCTTATAATGAAGAAATTTATGTAAAATGGTTTCCGTGTTTACATAGCCTGATGTAACTTACCTGGAATATACCCATAAGTCATGTTTTTATACAGCTCCCAGCCAATTGGTCCATTAGGATCTACTTCTTTCTTGTCAACATAACGCTCTTCAAGAGTCATATGTGAATTTTCAATTTTTTTCAACTGTTCCCATTGCCTGTCAACATCTTCAAAGACATAACGCTTGGAAGTAAATTTGATCCAATCCTCCAGTTCTTTCTGTGTGATCTTTCCGTCATTGTCTTTGTCAATTCTGTCCACAATTTTTCTGCAAAACAAATAAAGATGAGGAGATTTGGTTAAAATTTCACTGCATCAGGTTTATCATTATTTGGAATGATGGACAAGGAAGGGATTAATGTTTACCTTCCTGATAATCTGAAGAGCAATTTGTCACCCCTACCCATCTCCCCAAAAAATGCACTTTTGTGCCACGTGGCACAGTTCGGAAATAAAGATTTACGTGAAATGTCAAACGCCAGGCAAAAGCGATGTTTTCTATGATGCTTACTCAAGAGTGAAAGAATACTTTATAATTTAGTGCCTTACATTCAAGAAAAAGATTGTTACATCACCAACAAAGCCGTAGGAACAATAAGAAAAATAACAGTGATCCAATAATTGATAAACATGCTTACTACATGCTGTTATGCATGAGAGTCACTAAGATATTTCCTTATGGAAATTCGCACCAAAAATTTATTCGCAGGCTAGAAAATGAACAAAATTGTAACACGATAAACAATGGGGTTGTAATCCATGCACAAACATCCTAAGTTCAGCTGATGTAAAATTTTGGTTAATGCCTGCTGACGACGTGGCAAAGCTGAAGAGCAATTATCAATTAACGGATCGAAGTAAACGTTCTCCTGTTTGTTTGAAGCATTATTTTAGCACAATTAAATATTTCTCGCCTTGTTGAACGCAGTTCAAAATATTTCCGTAAAGCCAAAAATTTCATGAGGCCCGCTTATCATAACATAATTTCATGCATCACCCGGCAATCACTAAGTGATTCCATCGATATCACTTCTGCTGCAGCAGCGAATGGCGATTTCATGTTCATGCAAAGACAACTCAAAGCGACAGAGTCCGCAATTTTCTGCAACTTTTCACATACCCTAGTCTCTCTTTCGATTCCTCAGGCGTCAACTCATCAAATTTCTTCTTCTCCTTTCCAAGGAAAGCGTCGTGATCATATTCGGCGTTGTGTTCTTCTTCCTTAAAATGCTCTTCTTCCGACAAGTCTTGATCGTAGACACGATCTTTTCCTTGGCCCTTCGCTTCTGGAGGTCGAGCATCAATTACTAACAAACACAAACAGAGGCAAACCGGAGAGAAAATTTTTGCCATAATGCTAAATTTAAATGTCAGATTTGTTCTGCAGGTAATTTAGTCCACCAGTTATGTTTGATAATATGAGATTCCTGGGACTGACTGTCGTCTGTCCAAATGTAATAGCCATGGAGACAATGTGGTGTGATTTGATTGGCTGATAGGAATCAAGTCGGTAATTACGTGTATTTTCATTGGATGATTTCTGCCACGCTGGCAAGGGAGGATCGCCCTACTGCTGGAATGTTGGACGGGGGAAAACCTCCAAGGAAAGAGCAACGTGGAAGGTCAGTGCGTGACAAGATATCATGCTGCTCAATCGTAGCCTGCGTTGCTAGCGGTCTGCAGGCTACTCAATCGCAACATAACACTTCATTAAAAAAATCTGAGATTCAGCTGAATTAATAACTCTGAATCAGTTTTTAGTAATAATCGGTTTATTTCTTGAGAGATGAATAAATGGGGTAGTTTCTGAAGAAGCTGCGGTGCTGAATGGATGCGGTGGTGTGGGGGGGGGGGGGGGGGGGGGGAGGGGGGAAGAGGGAGGTTGGGAAGAGGGTGGGGTGGGGTGTATTTCACAACAACTTGGTTTGATAATGTAGATGACCACCGCAGAGGGTTTCTAAAGCCGACGTTTCATGCCCTTCGTCAGGGCAATTATCTTTTTGAGAAAATTCGTCTTGACTTTTTTCACCGAGCGCGAAAAGCGATGAAGAAGTTGAATGATCCGGCCGGTAGTCCTATGATAAGGAGTTAGAAATATGTGTTCAAACTTATGCCAGCAGATAACCGTGCCTCGAGCAACGCGGCCCTGATTAATAAATTAATTATACTAATAAATGCACCAGCGGGACCGGTCATTTCTTCATAATAAAAATAGCTTCTTTATAAACGATTATGTTGCAGTGCAGTGATAATGATAATCGACAAAAAGGAACCAAAATGATAATGATGATGATGATGACGAAAGGGATAATGATTTGATATCTTGATTACTTTATTACAGTCCCATATAATAATAATTCGGATGCTGACCGACGCAAAGAGAAGAACGAGAGTTCTCGCGCGCGCTTCGAGACGGCACGCGCGCAAAAATCTATTTTGTGACGTCATAATTGCAACAGGACTTGCGTCACCACACTCATCCCAAAGTTAGTCGTACTGTCAAGGTCTTCAGATCTCTAATGTCTGCAATAACACGCTTCTTCTCCCATGTCAAGTCTAGACAATCGTTCAACTTGCGATTTTTAAGACAACATGGTTACGAGCTTCTCGATGATTCGCCTCTTGGTGAAGGCTCCTACGCCAAAGTCCGTAAAGCTTACTCTAGAAGAACCAAACTTCACGTTGCTGTTAAAATAATAGACCGTAAAAAGGCTCCTGATGATTTTTTAGATAAATTTCTTCCCCGAGAATTGAGCATCATTCAAAATCTTGATCATCCTCACATCATTCGAGTGTATGAGGTGCTGGAAATTGGCGACAAAGTGTTTGTAGTTATGGATCTCGCCACTGGCGGAGATTTATTGGATTACATCAAGGAAAAAGGATACGTGGAAGAAAGTTTAACCAAGAAAATCTTCCTACAAATGTTGCAAGCAGTCAAACATTGTCATAAACATGGTGTGCTGCATCGTGACTTAAAATGCGAAAACATTCTCTTGGACGAAGGGAACAACGTGAAGCTCACCGACTTTGGTTTCTCCAGACCATTTAAAAAGTCAGAAATTTGCAAGACCTACTGTGGTTCGGCTGCATATGCAGCGTACGAGATTCTAAGAGGCAAGCGTTCTTTATATTGAGATTTTACGAGTACTTACCATAGTTTTCATTGTTAAAATTAGTTTTACAAGAGTTGATGTACCTTGCTGGAGCCGTACACAGTTTCTGTTATATTTAAGAACGTTTGTATCCTAAAGGGACAAGTTTGGGCTCTTGTTATACAAAGTCAGTGAAATATAGCGACTTTGTTTGGACACACCCTCGTTAGGTTCCCAACAGACCGCTCTCAAACGTTAGGAACTTCACTGATTCTAAGGTACTCTCTCTCCATAAGCTGTGTTGATCAGGAAGTTTTCGCTGACTGGTTCACGTCGAAAGTTGAAGACCTTGTAAGGGTCTCTTTTTTTTTCCAATGCTGACTAAAAGTTTGTAATCACTCACTTTTTTTCAGTAAATTATATTATGGTTTAAGTCAAGAGAACAGCTCGCCTCAGCAGTTTACCTTCCTTCAGAGTTTTTTGAGAATGAAATGAATGAGTTTGTCTTTCATTCCTTTCAATATTATGTGCTTCTCATTACGTATACAGCGCTGCTTACGTAGGGTTTCCAGAAGAACGAGGAGTTAGGGGTTAGGGAGTGTAGTCCACGCTGTACAGAAAAAGCGTCTTCCAGAGTACTACAGTGCATTTTTTTTCTTCATATTTCTTTCTTGAAATGAAGGGGTTTAGTCATATGTTGAGGATGTATTTTTATTATAATTTATTATGTTATAATTTATTTTACCCATAAGGTGTTCCGTATGACGGTGAAAAAGCTGATGTGTGGAGTATGGGAGTGATATTGTACACGATGGTAACGGGTCGGATGCCATTTGATGACTCCGACATGAAAATGCTACTGGCACAGATCAAACGCGGGCCAAGCTTTCATAAACCGAAACAGCAGATCACGGAAGACTGCAGAGATCTCATATGTGGCATGCTCACCTTAGATTTTAGATTGCGAATGGGCATTGAAGATATTGAACGCCACGCATGGTTTTCAGGTACTTCACGTTCAGAGCGTACTGGGAGCACACAGTCGGCAAGGTTGAGATCTTCGACAAACGAGGGCCAGAGTTAAATTGGAAGATCTTTATACCAATCCACTAGATAAATTCAATATTTCGTTCAATGTTTCGTTCAATTATAAAGTAGGTTTAAATTTTCAATGGCGTAATGAGAAGTACAAAAGATATAATCGAATTGCACGCATTTAAGGAAGCCAATCAATGTGCTTCAACTGCGTTCCAAACGCGGTTATTCAGTGTTTAATGCGATGCGTGGTGAGAAGAAAAGGATTGTTGTTAGTTTGTTTTCAAAAGAACGTTACCAATAAAGGAAAATCAAGTAAAGCACCAATAATTAGTATTCATTAATTCTATTCACCACTTTCTGTACAATTGATTGAGTTTAATTTGATAGACTGATAGCAAGCCGTCGGCGCTTCAGTACATGCGCTTTTTTGCCCGCGGGAAAGTATGAGAAGATCTCATTGGTAATTCTCCTTACGGTCTGCCATAGAATTCCTGTGATGCTTGTTCTGAGAATTTGGTACTAGATTAACTAGAAAATCCTCAAACTTACATTCTCCTATATTATCATCAACTGTCTGATTGATATTGTATTGATATTGTAAGGAGAAATTCTGTCTCGGTTACTCGTGGGTGTTTAAGGGTTAACCAGTGAGAGCCGGCGAGACGTCTGCAAGGGGTCTGAGTATTAGGGACAGGCCTCTGGCAAATCTCACCCCGAGTCTTCTGAAATATTCCCACGGGCGGGCGCAGAGGGGTACGTCCTGCCGGGCTAATGATGAAGGTATGCTCACAGCTGAAAAGTTTGAACAAATTCGAACTTTCTGCTCATTCCTTTTCACGCCTTGAAGGTAAGAGAAGCCTATGAGCTTTAAACAGCTCAAGTGTTCGCGGGAATACTTCTCAGTATTCATGGGATTTACTTTATCATCTTGCCAAGATTACAAAAATAATTCTTACGGACGTGTCGGAAATCGAACGGAGGCGTTCGGAAGTGGCGGAGTCGTCCAGAGTCGGAACGACGCAAGTGTCCGAAGTCAGACGGAACCGTCCGAAATCAGATGGTACTGTCCGTAATCAGACGGAAGCGTTCGGAGTCAGGCGGAAATGTCCGTAATCAGACGGAGGCTTCGTGCGGAATCAGAGATTTGTGTCACCTTTTTCCCCTGCTTGCAAATCGGAAAAAGACTCAAGGAATTGAACAATATTATCGGTACCAATTGAACACTTGCAACAATGGAGAAAGAGCAGCAAACAAGTAAGTCAAATTTATTAAGCATTCTGCACAAATAATTTTTTTTCAAAATCGCTTGGATAAAACCGTCGCCCTAGCACGTTGAACAGCGCTTGATCAAAGATTTTATTTAAATTAGTCACACCTCGCTACTTCAATCTCATTTTGTGTAAGTTCAAAAAATAAACCATTTATAAAAAAGTATTTTTTTTAAAAATATTTTGCTAAAAAATAAAAATTGGAACCTATCTAGTAAACATACAAAATAAAATTCTACCTGAAATACGGTTGAGTCACACCAACTGGACAATGTACCATTGGTCACATTCACGTGACTAATCATGGCAGCGATGGCAGAGGGGGATGCCTCATTTGATGGAAGGGTAGGTGCCCGTTGTAGCAGGTTCATTTAAATTCAACCTTATCGATAAATTGATTTGTTTGGTAAACACGTAAATTGATCACAAAAGGATCATTCTTAAATCAGGTGGTATAAATAGTTGAAGATCGTTCGTCTCTTAGCCGTGACGATAAAAATAATAATAAGCTGTATATATATATACATATATATATATATATACCCCTATGTAACGATTTCGTCCAGTCCCAGCCAATCAAACGGCTTAGAAACGCAATCACTTAATTGAAGCGAATACATGTGGCATGCACAACTCTTCTACTAAGTCATTTGAAAGAGAACGTTGAACTTTTTCATGCAAACAATTTGTCTTCATCAAAAGAAACAGCCTTAAGGCACGCGAACATTTCCTTGTTTGCAGCTGTTATTTGCGTGACGCTCAACTATGGCACTATCAGGCATCTTGTCACGCAATGCTAAATACGCCATGTCACGCTAGAAGTATATTATAACCAGCTTCTCGGTAAAAGTAGCCGATTTTGACCTTTTTAAACACTGCCATGAAATTAAGTCCCTTTTCTCTTCCGCGTACGATACTTGAATTTTAATGATGCAAGACGAATGAATGGATCTATTCCGCTGGGCTTGACGATCTGTTTTGGCAGATCATCCATCTTGTCACCATTCCAGTTGGCGTTTCTAAGACTGCTTGAAGCGACTGAAGGCAAGCTGTAATTTAAGATCAAAAGACAAAAATGTAACTATTTAAACTTTAGCCCAGACTCTCTCCAGGAGTCCCTGAGACGGGAGGAAGAGAAAGCCTGGAACCAGATAGTTAAAATACCGTATGATATTGCTACTGTTATACTCATGTGGTGGCCATTGATCAAATCGATCTTTGCACATCTGATATTTCGGATTGATGTCAGTGTCGGAGCAACTACATTCCTACCCCTCCCCTAACTAAAAATTGTCAACTGATTACAAGTTAGGGTTAATGTTGGGTTAGGGTTAATGTTGGGTTAGGGGAGGGGTAGGTGCGCGATTGCTTTGATACTGAAATTAATCTAATATTTTACATAAACTTGCCTCAAAAGCTTGTCCTATCGTCATAGTAATATCATCTGACATAGTCTGTTCAAAACAAAATTACAATCTTATTCTAGCAAAATCAAAGTCGATTAGAATTGGTAACTAATTATAAAAGCTTGCTGGAGAAGGAAACTGACATTTTGGTTCCAGCTAAAGAAATCTAGATAACAGTCAAAATAATATGTGAAGTCACTCGCACAGAAGCAAAGAAAACTTGTTCCTTAAAACTACTGGACCCGGTTGTTCGAAGGGTGTAGTGTATAGCGTAGTACGTTTTGTTTACACTTATCCGCTGGATAGCGATTTATCCGATGGACAGCGTTACTTGCCCTTTGACCGACAAGGCCTTGCCTGGGGCCCGTTTCTCCACATATTTAGACCATAAAGAAGCACGTTCTGACACAGTTCCAGTTTTAATTCTTAAGTTTATAGTTTTATTGTATACTTGACAAAGTTTTTGTTTAAGTCTTGAATGAAAACAGAACAGCGGATCCGTTAAGTTAACAGGGCTTTCGAGAAATGGGGCTTTCGAGAAACAAGTATACAATAGAACGCGCTAACGCGAACTCTCAAGATAAAATGGTTCGACGCAGCGGGAGTTCGAGTTCGCAGATAGTAAATGACTGAAAAAAATGGGTCAAGGGAAATCGAATCTTGTTTGAGTTACCGGGAGATCCGAGTAAACCGGATACGAGTTAGCGGATTTCCACTCCATTTTAATCGTTCACTTTACAAACTCCTTAGCAAATGTGCTTTTGAACTCATCTACACCAGAATATATCGTCCTGAGGGAGTCCACTTGTTCGTTAACAGATGTGTCAGTTTCTAAACAAGTGGAATTTCCAAGAAGAAAAGATTACCACAATTTCCCATCCAAACTTTTAAACAAAAGTTGCTTGGAAAGACTAAGAAGTGTACACTTATAGACGGCTTGAAGGCATGGGTAATTTTAGCAACTAACTCACCATATTATCCATTCTGAACACGTGACAGTAATGGCTGTTTGTCTTAGCGTCTCTAGCGATATAAGCAAACACTGTTCTGTCTTCTGGATCCTGTGTGATGTACGATATGTTTCTGATGTCGTGATTACTGACCATGATCTACGGAAAAAAAGTGTTCCGATTAATAGCAATACTCGGCTTGATATAAATAAAAGACCCAACTAATCTGGTTCAAGTCCAAAAACATCAAAAATGCATTATTTAGAAACACTTCCATCATCGTAGTCATAATATCATAGTTATCATGATTAAATAAATTTTAGTTGAGTGTCGAAAGTAATCTAGCATTGCTCTGCTTTTGCTTTACTTCTTGACATATGATTGGTCCAGAACACTTGCACCACTTCCTCGACCGATCAGATTCAAATTTAAAACTAGACGCGTTTTGGCCACTCGCATTTTCCCGCGCTTCAATCAAATTGCGTGTTTTAAGGTTGAGCTCTCATTGGTTCCTTGACATAACTTCCTTTCATCTGATTGGCTGTTGCTTTGGTTTTGGTTTTACAACGCTGAATCGAAAAGCACTTTGCCATTTCTACAGTAATTGGTTTGATCCAGGAGTAACATTTGATTGCGCTAATGATTTTCTAGGCAAGGTAAGTCTTGAAAAGGATTCTTACCGGTAACAAAAAGTGGGATTTCGACAACAGGAGCGAAAATCATAATCAGTTTTAAGTGAGGAGTTTTTATTTTTGTCTAGTGTCCAAGTCTAATTCGCCAAAACTGATTGGAAGGTTTTGCCGTGATGGTATTGGCTAAAAGATTTAAGTCGCGAAAGTCAGTTTGATTGGTCACTTTCAATCTGCCAGTTATAGG